CTACGTATAATTTTAGTGTAATTTCATTGGATGAATTGTTGCTATTTGCCTTCTCTTTACGTTTATAAAATCATGTTTATTATAAAGAGTATCATAAGTTGGTTTTAATATAATCTGGTACAAAAAATATCTAAATTATTAGTTTATGAAATTTAAATACTATATATTGTGGTGTATCTTCTATTTCTTTAGGTTACAATCAATAAGTCCTTTTCTGGGTAATTGTTTCACTTCTTTGACAAAATAAATATTATAGTCATTCCTTAAAAACATTTTTTTTTGGAAACTTTTATAACAGCTTGTTTGGGTAGTTGTTATGCATCGTTTCACAATATATCGTATCGTGTCATATTATATTGTACTGTATTTTTTAACGAATGCAATGTTTGGATAGATTGTTTTGTTTGCCATCGTTTCATGAAGAATAAACTTGTAATATTATAAAGAAAAATTATGATACAGAGTAAAATTATTATATAATAAGGCAGGGTAAATGATAAATAAAATTATTTAATAATAATAAAGAGTGAGATTGAGAGAAAAAGACAAAGTAACGATACGATCACACCAAATTAGTCGTTATATAAAGTGATACATTTCGTCATTATGTAATGACGGATTTAACGATACGATACAATAAAATTTAAGTAACAATCAAAACAAGTATCGTAATTAAAATAACAATACGATACAATACAATGAGTTATTTTAAATTCAGTGTATTATGCGCACACACAAAAAAAAAAGGTACCAAATATTGGAGTGACATAGTAAACACCGTGGCACCAGGAATGGGTTCCAAATTAGCATTACATATCCAGAAAATCTCTCTTGAAAATTAACAGTAATATGTATTATGTATTTATACGGGGCTCAGGGAAGGGCAACACTTCAAAACAGGTGCGGATTTAAGGGGCGGAAAGGGGTTACCTCCTTCGTCGAAAAATTATATTGTTTATATAAGGTAAAATATGTTTTTACCTCTATATATTATGTTTTGAATCCTCATTACGCAGCCAAAAAGTATAGCTTAGTCGTCAAGGAGGTTCAAAACCTATATAAGGTCATTGGTTCAATTCCCACTAGTTACAATCTCCCACTGCTCCAAAAGGATATGATATAAGCAACTTACTCTAATTTTAGCATCAATGACTGATTTCACGGTTCGAACCTGTGACATATAAGCCACACAAAGACAATCTTATGTTGTTCCAAGGCTCCCCTTCAAGCTACAACAAAAGTAAAAATAGGGTAATTTGTGAAAGCATTTTTTTTTCTTTTTAAAGGAGATATACTATATAGAGTTGGGGCTATATATATTAATTACCTATAACCAGTTTACATCATTTTCTTTTAATATTGAATTCTTGCAACTCTAAGCTACAAGAAGCCATAACTAGAAGCAGAAATATCTTTAATTTTAAGGTTCAACCAAACAATAAATTGATTAGATCTGAAGTACAGTCAAAATGTACAATAATTTTAATAAAGTACTTTGAATGTATTTATCAGATATCCAACAGGGAAAAGAATAGTACTACTCGTATAATTAAAGTTCTGAATTATGGTTTAATTTATGTTTAATTTAATTAATGATGTTTCCACGGTCTTTTGTCTCCTTTCTTTAGCAAACATTGAATCATTGTGTTGAAAATTGAAACTTGCAATCTACAAAAAATTTCTTTGTATAATAATAACAAAAAAGAGGACAAATGGAGATGTTCATTGAACCTTGCATCTTATTAATTAACTCAAAAGCCTTAATTATTGTCCCCAAATTAAACATAATAATAAAGATATAAATTATAAAGTAGAAATCTCACTTTAAAAGATCGCATAATAATGGAACAAATTGAGGTGCGTGTCCATGTTATATAGATATCATAGGATTAAGTAGTACTGCATTCTCTTTTTTCCATTTTTTTTTATAAACCCCTCCCAAATTAGGAGAATCTATAGTGTTTCCACACTTTCCCTCCATGGTGACTCGAACCCAGGACCTAACGGTCGTAGGTGGAGATGCTTTTACCAACTGAGCAAGCCTCACTTGTCTCTTTTTTCCATTTAATTTGCAAGTAAAAAATAAAAAAGGAGTATGCTGGAGCAGTTGGTGAATTTAATCGTATTTTCTATCTCAGAATTCTTATTTAATAAACGGAAAAGGGCCAAAAAAATATGCCTAACGTATTGAAAATGGCTCAAAAATGCCCTCCATTAACCTTGTTTGATCAAAAAAATACCCGTAACGTTTCAATTTTGGCTCACATATACCCTTGAAACTAACAAAACATGGATGGTAAATTTGTGGCTCACCTTCCATCAATATATCATATATTTTTTTATATGTATTTTATACCACATATCTAAATTATTTATATACATCATAATATATGTAAACAAACAAAATATACCATACATATTCTTTAAAGTTGTGTATTTTATACTTTATATATACCACTATTATAAAATTTATCACATATACCATTATAATAGAAAATATATAAGAACTACCAATCGAAGTTGTAACATGTTAAAATAAGGGAGCGACTCCGCTCCATTACAATTTGCTCCATTAGATGTCAATATAGTTTTGAATAACTAACACGTGTCCTTGTTAATTTTTAGAGGATGAGATTTTTTTATTTATTAATTCTCTATTATTATTATGTGTGTGTATATATATATATATATAAGGATAGTATAGATATGATTCATGTTTTACCCATTTTAAAAATTTCATTATCCAACCATTTTTTTAGTGGATAATATGAATAGATTACTATTTGTTATTCATTTGTCACCACTACTTACATGTAAGGATAGGTCTTGTTTATACCAAATTAATAAATATATAATTATCTTTACAATTATGGTAATCACTAAATTATAATTAAAAAATAGATATATTTCTTTAATTTATTATTTAACTATGATAAATTAGTATGATTAGGCATAAATGAGAAGAAGAAAAAAAACAAGCCCGTATGCTTTAATTTCATCTTGGCATATTTTGGGGGATTTACATCTATACCCTGTTTTTGGGTTACATTTTAACTTATACCCGCTTTGCAAAAAAAATTGCAAGCGTACCCATTTTTCGGGTAACTTCAGACATACGGGCCTGAAGTAGCAAATGCAATCACGCAAACTTCAGATCATAGTGCAATGACAAACTTCAATTCAATAAAACTACAACATATTTTGGATGAAGTTTTTGTTTTGTAATTATTGAATTTCAGCATTCTAGGAGCTGAAAGTTTGTTGAGTATTTGCTGAACTTCAGTATTTTAGGAGTTGAAGTTTGTTTTGTGTTTGCTGAACTTCAGCATTCTAGGAGCTGAAGTTTGTTTAGTATTTGTTGAATTTCAGTATTCTAGGAGTCGAAGTTTGTTTAGTATTTGTTGAATTTCAGTATTCTAGGAGTCGAAGTTTGTTTAGTATTTGCTGAACTTCAGCTCGCTTATTTGGTAATTGAAAACAAAAACATGTGTACTGTGATACAAATTTATGAGTATCTTGTGCTAATTCATTGCCTAGGCAAGAAATGCATCCACCTAACTAGAAACAAAGGAGACGAAGTGCAAAAACAATGCACCGGCGGTTTAACATGTAGCTAGAGCAGAAAACAATGAAAGAATCTGCTTGTTTCTTGCTCTGTTCACAAAATGCCTCTTCTATTGAAAGCTTGAAGGTGAGTGGAAAATCTTGAGAAGAAGAAAACGAAGGAGGAGAAAGAGGCCTAAAGTTATTTAAAAAGTGGGTACAAGTTAAAACCGTTTTAAAAAGTAGGTATAAGTTAAAAGAGGACGACCAAATAGGACGCCGTACAATTTTTTCGCATATTTTGAAGCTTTAGAAAGAAAAGGACAAGTGCGCGCGCTTGTCGGTTCACTGGCCATAGACCGTTGGGGTGGCTTTGAGTCAGACCTTGTCTCTCTCTCTCTCAGCTTTATAATTTATCTTTTTATATTTATGCTCTTTTTATTTTGTTTTTGCATGTTCAAATTTGTGACTAGTTTCAGCTTCAGGCTGAAGAAAGCAGCAGAATTTTTTTATTTCGTTTGTTTTTCTTGGTTGGTTTATAAGATGTCAACGATTTGGACGAGTCAAGATGAATTGAATCGATAAATAAGTCAAAGCTCAACTATCATAGATCCATATAGATTGGATGGATTTGATTTAAACAATGGCGAAAACTCAACCTGTCAAAATCTAAATCAACTTTTTATTTACTTATTCCTTTTTAATAATTTGTTAAATTACCAAACTAAAATTTTTTTCTTTTTCTTTGATTATACCATCCAATAAATACATATACATCTTTTCGCAAATATGATTATCATTAAACTATAGTTAATTAATATATATATTCTCATCTTAATTTATCATTTAACTATGATAATTAATATGGTATAGTGTAAACTCCGGACGCTAATTAATTTTTACCATGCAAAGACTAATATAGTTCAAAGATTCAAGATGTTTTCCTTTTAGCAATCTCCATTTTGAGAATTTAGTGAGTTTTTGACTAATTTTCAATTTCTTATAATTTCTTTAACTACAAGTGCAACTATAACTATGCCCCAGTTCTGAACAAGTTGATAAAAAAAATGTTAAAATGAGTTTTTTTTTCTTTCAAGAGAAGGGTGTTAGGTGTTTGCCATAATTTTCTTACCATATTTGGTTTTCCTATTTGTTGAAGGAAAGGGCAATATAATTACCTTAATTGAGTTTTCCTTTTTGTAGAAGGAAATTATAATTCTCCTATACTTGGCTAGTCCTTTTTCTTGTAGGAAAATGTTTGGACTTCTATAAATTGAGGATCCGTTCTTCTCATTTAGTACATCCACAATGTAGCCATATGGAGTTTGAGAGTCGTGTTTAGGGGGAGAATTTTACGGGACAAGTGTTAGTGTGTTACTTGTGTTTGCCTCTTCGTGAGGTTGTTCTCTCGATATTTTGTACTCTNTACAACAAAAAAGGGCAGCCCGCCCGGTGCACTAAGCTCCCGCTATGCGCGGGGTCTGGGGAAGGGCCGAACCACAAGGATTTATAGTACGCAGTCTAACAACAGAACTGCAAAATTCAATACATCTAAAAGTCACAGAAGACAATAAAAGAAGGTGTTAAGATAATACTGCACCTTAATCTCTTGTTTCATTGTCTGTGCCAAAAACTGGTTGAAACTCCAGGGTAAGTAAACAGATTGAATATCAGATACATTCCGGAGATAGTAATGAATGTAATCGTTGGTTCCAATCGAAATGTAGAACACAGAAGTTGATATCAGATCAGCTGTTGCTTCTTCACCAATAGTCATTATAAATTGCTGAATAGTATCAGTAACTTGCTCTATTTGTTGTGCTAGGGAGATATGCTGACCCTGCATAAACACTAATCTTGTTTAAGTACTTATCTAAGCATCAAAATCATCTACTAACTATAAAATTAATCATAAATTTTGGTTCAAAACAGAAATTGTAGTGAAAATTTTTACCAATTCAGAGCCACTTGAGAAAATAATGCCAGCACCAGCAGAAGCATAATTAACACCAAGAATCATGTCTTCAATTGAACCAGCCTGTCCTAGATAACTTGGCACAAATGGTAATCCAAGACGCACAGCTGATATAATCAAATCCACAAAAAGAATGGAAATTAGCAATCTTTACCTACAAATTCCACTAAATATAGCAAGAATTTATCGCTCAATTCTCAAAAATAAATACTAATAAGAACAAAGACTTCACAAAATCAGTACTAAAATTTTGAGTTTTTACTTTTTAAGAGGATAAAAAGCAAGAAATTAACACGCTAAAGACCCATCAACCATTTCAATGAAATGAATCATTTTTCTCACAGACAATCTATCAATCAAATAACCAGCATCAATCTCAAAACCTCACTAACCCAACAGAAAAATTTCTCAACATTTTCAAAAATCTCACTAACCCAATTGAAAAGTTCTCAAGTTTTTCACAAATCTCACTAACCCAATTGAAAAATTCTCAACTTTTTCACAAATCTCACTAACTCAATTCAAGAAATTGAAAAGAAAATTACCAAGATAATCGACAGGGATTCTTCCATTGCAGAAACGTCCAGTAGGTTGATGAGTATCAAAATCACGTCCATAAGGAAGTCTGTCAGCACGAGCAAATGTACCAAGAAAATTGTTAGTACCACAATCAACTGATGAATCACCAATTACGAACAAAGCAGGAACAAGAGGTTCTATAGTAGGAGGAAAAATCGGAGCTGGAGATATCGAAAAAGAGGGCGAAAATGGTGAAAAATCAAAAACAGAATCATGGGTTATGAGATCTTGAGGGTAAATGAGAGCTATAGTTTTTGGGTATGTGAAAGAAATGAAGATGAAGATGAACAGAATCTTGATTGCAGAGAAATCCATTGTAGAAACAGAGAAAGAGTTAGGGAAAGAAGAAGAAAACCAGTATATAACTAACTGCGACTATTATAAACGGCTTTTGGCGGGGTGTATAACCAACTGAAGGAAATATATTAAATATATTAAAAACCTTTAAATTGCCTTGTTATTGTTTTTCCTCCGGCAAATTGTCCTATTATTTTTACACCAATAAAATGTATTCTATTTTAGGAAAAAAAATTGTATTTTTCATTGACCCCTAATGTCTTGTATAAGATTTTTTTCCTAATGATTGGGGTATGAATGAACAAAAAATGAGGTTGATCTTTATAAAAATAGCCGGACCAATTCACTTTTTGCTTTTCTGGCCAGTATGCATAGATTATACGATGATGATATATGATTATACGCGCGCGCACACATATATATATTAGGATAAAGTTTTTGTAATTTTTATTGACCCCTAATGTCTTATACAAGATTTTCCCTTATGATTGGGGTATGAATGAACAAAAAATGAGGTTGATTTTTACATAAATAGCCTGTTAAATTCACTTTTTACTTTTTTTGGCTAGTATACATAGATTAACGATGATTATATACGATTAGACATATATTATATATGTTTCTATTTTAGGAAAAAGTTTTGTATTTTTTATAGACCCCTAATGTCTTATACAAAATATTTTCCTAATGATTGGGGTACGAGTGAACAAAAAATGAGGTTGATTTTTACATAAATAGCCGGTCCAATTCACTTTTTACTTTTCTGGCCAGTATACATATATTATATGATGATTATATAGAATTATACCTGGATTATACATATATTATATATTCGCTGACTACTTTAAATTTAAACACTTGAGTAGACGATTATTTAAGTTAATTTTTCATTAAAAAAATATGCGTAGCTTAACTTGTCCAAGTCTGGATAGGTTAGATGCATTGTATTTTTGGGGGCTAAATTTGACTCTTTAGTAGTTCATAAATAACTATTCTTCAACATTACTAAAAGGGATAGTTTCACATAAATATAACTCACACACCTAACTTGTAACATAATAGTTTAGATATTACTTTGCAAATTTATAAGCCCAAAATAATTGGCTAATTTCCGAAAGACAGTTTATTTTACACAATCAACTACGGTTATTGCTCCCTCTTTATACAACCAGTTATTTTTATTCTCTTGATTTCCTTTGATTATTAAGCATTTGATAAAAAAAATGCAAATCAGTCACAAAGCAACTCAAAAATCCTGAATAATACATATTATCTGAAGGTACGAAATTCAAACACTGTTATGTGCAATTGCTGAAGCAATCCAACAGGATAAAAGAAAAATAAAAACTTGGTAAATGAATTGTAGAATCCCTCCAGCGCGTACAAAATCTTTTTCATAAAAAAAGAAGAGAAGGAAGTGTCAAACTTCTGTGGAAGCCTCTTACACACTGACAATGTATATACATCCTTATAAACTGAAAACATATAATTATACAACATTATACACAAATATGCACATTTATACACAATTATACAATACTGTATAAGTGTATATAAACACCATTTATACAATATTTTCTCTAGAAAACATAAAATGTCCAATGCTACACTTACTGTAAATAATGTGTTAACTTGTATAAACATGTATAATAATGTATAAGAGGTGTTTGTATATCCATATACACAATTATACACTATTATACAATGTTGATACAAACTGCTACATAGTTATGATTTTTTATCCAAGTCTCGAGTTGTAGTAGAAGGTATTCGATGATTCAACTTGTCAATAGGTTAACAATTTTGCGCCAACGATCCGGAATTCAACACACATATAAGATACATCCAATTTCATATTCGAGACTTCAAGGTCATAATAATAATGACCAGAACTTCAAACTTCAAAATCTTCCAAAATTAGTGGTAATTTTTTGGTGCAAATCAAGTTTGACAGCTATTTATTTTCAGATCTATGTATATTTTTATTTTTCTTTCAAAAATCTTTGATATTCTTCTGCTTGCCACCATGGACGACGGAGTAAGAGCCCAAGCCTTCTTCGAGCCATTGATGACAGAACTGCGTAGGGGGTAGGGGAGGGGGAATAGCGGGAGCTAGGTTAAGAGAAGACGAGGGATCTATGTGGGTTAGAAAGAAAGAAGCGAGATGCGATGAAAGAGAATTTGGTGTGCTGGGAATGAAGAAAGAAGAAAATAATAAAAACCCTAAAACGTCTTTTTATTAATGGGCTAAAGGCTGAAAAGTTTCTTTCAAGTTATGTACAACATGAGCTAAATAGGGTAAGGGCTTCAAATTGGGCCATTTTCGGTTGGGCTGTTAGGCCAAGCAAAAGGGCAGTAACTCTTTCTTACTAAAAACACTTTACTTAAAAAGGAAATCAACAGTTCTTGCAATTCGTTTAGACCAAATATTAGTTTCTTTTTTGGTGTGCATTTTAGTACGTCTCCTAAAGATGGGCTGTGATGCAAAATTCTCAATTTAATCACGTGCACTCCTAATATTATGAAGAATCTTTAGTTTCGTCATCGTAAATTATTAGCTTATAGTTCAAAAATTCAAATTGCTATCCTATTAATAATGTTTGACTCAAAAGAGAAAAGAAGATCGTAGACTTTATTTCCTTAACAATTTGACATGTTGTACACGGTCAAATTGTGTAAATCGGGCCCACCAAATTTTACTGATTAACCGAGACCTGAGGACGGATCAATGACTGGCCCCGTAGTATATCGAATCGAGACATGAGGATAAGGTACCGAGTTCGAGATTCAAAGTATCTTTCGAGATCGAGACCAGCGATGATCGAGACCAAACAGGATCGACATCGAGCAAGACCATAACGGAAAGGTGAGATATCCGCGACTAGACGAGGTTCATGGCGGAAATCTCGGAACGAATCAAATCAAGAACAATTGTTTAGCTAATCATGGGATCTCCTTCTGTAATTAGAGTTATACCGTAAATAAGACTCTTCTACTATATAAAGAGGGTCCTAATCATTTTGTAACCATCATACACTAATAATCAGGAAATATACCACGTCTCTCTTAAAACTCTCTTAAGCTTTACTAATCGAATTCATACTTTTTCAATAGCATATTCAGTTGGTTTGAAGGCGACTTAGCTTGAGGGCCACAATTGTTCATCACATTGGTTTGCTTTATTTTACTATTAATTTCTAGCATTAATTCTCATATTTATCATTTTGTGCCAAGTGAAATCACATATCCTTAACATATACTAGTATATATACATAAAAGTTTTTACTTCACTGCACAGTGTAATTTTCGTCATTGGTAGCACAATGACTAAATTTCTTGAGGATTACAAGATTAAAAGGATTCTATCAATGCCATACCATCCCAGCGGTAACGGACAAGACGAATCAACCAACAAAACCATCATTCAAAATCTTAAGAAAAGATTGACCGACGCTAAGGGAAAATGGAGAGAGAGATTGCCGAGGTTCTTCGGGCGTACCGTACGACGACGAAATCCAGTACAGGGGCAACATTGTTCTCTTTGGTCTATGGCGCCAAAGCTCTTATCTCGGTCGAGGTTGGGTAACCTAGCCTCAGGTTTCGATATGCGACAGAAGAATCAAATAACGAAGCCATGAATACAAGCTTAGAATTGTTGGACGAAAGATGCGAGGATGCCCTCGTTCGATTGGCCGCACAAAAACAGCGGATCAAAAGATACTACAACCGAAGATCTAATCTTCGACACTTTAAAATTAGAGACTTAGTGCTAAGAAAATTCACCCTCAACACTCGAAACTCGAATGAAGGGAAACTGGGTCCAAATTGGGAGGGACCATATCAGGTCCTCAATATCATCGAAAAGGGATCCTACAAGCTCGGCACGATCTACGATGAACAATTATCGAAAAATTGGAACGTATCACTCCTAAAGCGATACTACTGCTAAGGTACGACCTTCTCTATTTTCATTTATATTTTAAACTAACCAACTGCAGGTGTTCGATCGAGGTCGGCAACAGATTCTTCAATACAGAATCTTTAGGTCTGAAAGCATGCATTGTACTCTTTTTACCTTAGACCGGTTTTTGTCCCAAATGGGTTTTTCCGGCAAGGTTTTTAACGAGGCAACAATTGATCGTGCTAACTTAGAACAATTCAACAATATCCGAGTCTTCTTTACAATTATTAAGCAGCATTACCCTCGACTGCCAACTTTGTTGCAAGGAAATTACTTCGTGACAATGGGGTCTCGATAGGAAAATTTTATAAGGGCCAAACAGTCGAATGAACCGAGCCCATATAGGTTATTCGAGCCCTAACATCAAACATGTACGCATGTATAATCATCTATTGAGAAAAGTATTTTTCCTTGTCGATATCTCTTGCCTTAGAAAAAATTTCTACTTTGCAATTTTATACTTGATCTATTGTGTAAACTGGCTTAAGGGCCAATCACAACTGAAGTTCGAACAATTAACCCCATGTTCGGGGACTGTCGTCCAAAAACCAAACGAGATCGAATTACTAAAACTTCGCGATCATAATACCTTAAAAGCAACCCTAGATTTTTATAGGCCACGTCCACCCCACTCGGAGACTGACACTTCGAACAAGCTCGAAGTATAGAGGGAGAACAAGCCTAAGAGGCAAGTCCCAAACTAAAAAGGCTACGACCAAATTAACACGGTTCAGAGACGTCCAAATTCTGTAATAAAAACAAGCCTTTGAACATCCTCATCAACCGGTTAAAAGGGCTACCCTCGAAAAAATACAAAGGGCTTCGATAGTGTCAAGCCTCAAAAAACCTAATGAATACCAAATTGTTCGAACTCTCGAACAATTTCTTATTTCGTGCTAAGGCATAACAAATTTTATAACTAACAATAAACCCTCCAAGCCGAAAATAGGAAAAAGCCATTATTTTACAAAGGCCACATCGGCCTAATACAAAAGCCTAAGAGCCATCTTTTGTTTTGAGTTCGAGGGATCATCCCCACTCAATTAAAACCTAAGGG